ATATATATATATATATATATATATATATATATATATATATATATATATATATATATATATATATATATATATATATATATATATATATATATATATATATATATATATACATACATATACATATATATAATCCTGGTCATAGCTTCCACAATTGACCGCGCCGTTCTGAACTTATGATCATTTCAACCCACTCTTTCCCCTCGGATAAAAGATCACAAAAGCTTTACTCCATCCTGCACACGCTTTCTATGCACAACTTGTATCAACAACTGGCCAGGTTAAAAGAACTCAATCAATCGCTGTGCGCGGACCGTACTTGACCAATTTAGCATCATATGTCGAGTATAGCACTCTAGCAAGCATATACCGATGTCACCAGAAAAGCCCTAGTTTAAAAACATTATTAATAAAAAGTCGATTGCACATATGTCACGGCCAGGTATAGTGACCAAATTCATATACGGCCAGACTGTCGGCCATCGGTCCTGCTCTGAGCAACGAGACAGTACATGATAAATAAGAGCGAGACAGCAATGCAATACAATATGCGTCTGAATGACGTGTGCAGGTATTAAAAATTTATGAAAAAAATTATAGCCTCCTGTTCTACTTTCAGGAGGCTATTTTAAAAAGTTATGAATATTCAGCTGTCTACTGTCGTGAGCAGTATGTACGTATTTATTACACATAAAAATGGTAATAAAAGTGCAAAGGCCGAGGGGATGAATATAGTATTCACTTTTTTTTTGAAACTATATATGTACATACTGGAAAGTAAAAAAAGGCGTCCCTGTATCTTGCACAAATATATAAATATTATCAAATACTCCAACACGCACGCAGTTTCCGAATGCAACAATAATAGTTTAGCCGGCTTCCACCCCAAGCCTCAGGCCACACCAGAAAGTTGTTCAGTGGACGAAGGGAAGTGTTGGACATTCCACTGGCACGTAGTGATTCACAAGCATTTTTATTGGAATATATAAAAAGCAATATCCGAAGTTTGAATTCGTCACATCGTCCACGCTTTAATTCAATATCTAGACAGTAATACTGTAACTTGGTATTTTGCAATCACCATAACAACTACTATGAGTGACGAATTCGATAGTTGGCAGCTAGAAGGACGTAAGTACATGCGAGATGTCGCTGTGCAGCGTCGCTCGCGCCGAGATACGAAACAAGCGAGGTCGAGTCACTGGAACAAAAACCCAAAACCTAGGTACGGCGCATATCGAACCTCTGTTAGGGGCGCGTGTTATACACAAAGTGGAACTTCTGCCCATCCCGTGATCATAAATAACAAAAGTGGTTGTAGATGTTGTCGATATCGCATTAGAGCTTCCACCCCCATAAGGATGCCACGGGAGCACATTAGAAATCTCGACAGATGTTATTATGTCTGTCATTGTAGTGAGCCGCGCAGTCGAGGTTGTAAAAAACAGACTATCGCAGCAGTCAACGGAGACAGTTGTTTTTGTGATTTAGAAGTTGATGACAATGAGTCCGACAGCAAAAATTGGAATCTTGCGGCACTCGATCAAGGCACGCAGTGTGATATGCCTATCCCGGAAATGGCACCAAGAGCTATCACTAGCTTCAGTGGATACGCTGCCAAATTGGCGAGGTTTTTGGGTTTTGGATATAGCACTTTGGATCAGTTGTCATCAACGACAAACTTGGCGCCCGATGACTTCGATTTTATCCATGATGAGAACCAGGAAGAAGATTGGGTAGTACTAACAACATGATTCCTACTTTTCTATAAGCAACACCTTCTCAGCAACCGCATGTTACCTACAAACTGCTCCTTTTACGCTGAGATTCGGGGGTGTAAGATGATGTGATAAACAAACCAGTTTTTACGTCTGTGTCTCGGAAAGAAAGGATTAATAATCATGGGCAAATTAGAAAGTACTTCATAGCAAAACTGATGCACCCGTTAGGCGTTTACATGCCCCGGTATTTAAAAAAAAGCGAGGTACTAGGATGGTTTTTAGGATATTTGTCAAGTTTGTCAAAAAAGATTCCATCAATGTATTCTGATCCAGATCAAACTGATAAATAATAGATGATGGGAAGAAGCTTTTTTATCAATTTCCTTCCTGAAACGAAATTGAAAGAATGTCGCAAAGGTGCAAGGTATTTATTTACTAATTTTTAAATTACATTACCATCTGGGCCCCTGGGATACTAAATATGTATGACTGGCCACAATCCAAACACCGCGGGGACTGAAATTAAAATATTCATTAATGATTAAGGTGTCGTAATTTGTATGTTCACTTTTTTCTCTCGGAAGTTATATTTCTGCTACACTACATCTGCTATTAAAATACTTGTACATGATGTACTTTCCTACTTTAAAAACAGATATATACATATATATCTATAATATACATTCACCACACTAGAGCAGCGGTAACCTATGACGAGAACTTCCACGTTGACTAATGGCTACTTACCAACTGTCATAAATGGGGCGAGCTCATAGCTATAGAAACATACCTAAGTAGATCCCAACCCAACTGTTTGGAGTGAGATCGTATGTAGCTTGTACTTAGTTCAAATAAGAGGACTACGAATTATGCAATGAGCATGCAGTGAACAATACATAAACACTGAACACCCGCGAAGACCAATTAAAAAGGTATTGCTTAGCGTTGCAGACTTAGAGATAACTAGCTCTATGAAATGAGTGGCATAATACGTCGTACAAAGTCGGCACAGTATGCCAAACCCATAAATGGGTCGGTCGAAGATGGGTTGTTTTGTAAACACCGGAGGAAACACCTCAATAGTGCGGTGAGAAACAGAGCGAAGGAATTATGCGCCAAAGCAAGGTTTGTTAAGAATATGATTTGTATTCCTTGCTTGTATGAGCTGTGCGATTAGTGAGCTCATATATTCACTTGCTTGATCAATAAGCACAACTCTATACGAATGCCCATGGATGTAGCACTTCCTCTGTACGTAAATAGTACTTGTTTCTGTATGTATGCGTATGAACC